TACTGTAGTGGTGGATGTATATCATGCATTAACCCACAGAATCTCCAACACCAAGAATGAACACTAATGCAAACTACAGACTTTGGGTGATAGTTTTGTCATTTTTAAGGTAAAGAGATTTTGCTGAATGATCTCTGAGGTCATTTCATTGCCCCAGGTCTTTAAAGTATGTGGAAATCCATAAAGGGTAATTATAGTAACAATAAATCATTGGCAGTTGTCTTTGGCAGAATGCTTAGCTACGCCTGTTATGAGACCTAACATCTCCAATAGGGGAAAAATACTTTGTCCCAAAGAGGGCAGCCTTGCGTTCATAACCTGCCTTGCAGCCTGAAGGGGGTGTGTGCTGAAATTGAGAGCAAGCAAAACTGAACCACATGGCATGCAGTTCCGGGGAAAAGCTTTGCACAGGAGTAAGTCTTGGTCCCTGGCCTGTGATCAGAAAAAACAAGTCCCAAGTGTAAGAGACTGACTCGGCCAGCCATGGTGGCTCACACCTGTAATCCTAGCTCTCTGGGAGGCCGAGGTGGGAGGATCACTTGAGTTCAGGAGTTCGAGACCAGCTTGAGCAAGAGCAAGACCTCGTCTCTACTAAAAAAAGAAAAGTTAGCTGGGCGTTGTGGTGTGCACCTTGTAGTCCCAGCTACTCAGGAGGCTGAGGCAGGAGGATCGCTTGAGCCCAGGAGTTCGAGGTCACAGTGAGCTATGATGACAGCACTGCACTCCACTGGGGGTTAAAACAGCGGAGACTGTCTCAAAAAAAAGAGAGAGAGAAAGACTGACATGCAGGAGGCAATACAGGCCAACCTGTCTTTACTTTTCTTCCTTGTGGTCTCTGAAATAATGGCTGTTCTTTCCATTAAGAAATAGCAAGAGTACCTCTCATTTATTTATCTCATTGATTTACCTCAGTCATGATGCTAGTGAGGGAAAGTTATTTCATTGCCATAGGAATCTCATGTGGTTTTAAAAACAAATGCTTTAAGTGACAACAAATATGTGTGTTCTATTTTGAAGGAATTTTGAAAGGATGGCTGGAGTCTAAATCGTATTTATGATTTCTACATCCTAAAAGATTGCACGAGCTATTTGTGCATTCATTCATATGTGCACTGATCGAGTCATGTTTGAATCTGCAAGGAGCCAGGCAGTTTTCTAGATACTGGTAACAAACATGCAGTCCTCATGAAGTCTAGGAAGGGAAATGCATGTACGCAGATAATTCCAATATAGCGTGCTGCACTGCAATAATGAAGCGTTTGAACTATGGGCGAGCGGTTCTGCAATGCTCCCTTTGGTACTCGTCTCTTTCAAAGCTATCAAATTCAAATTCCTAACATTTTGTGTTTAAATCCAGTGATTCTGAGAGGCTGTTTGTGTGTCCTTCTCCTGCGTCATCCCTGTGTTCCATTCTTGCTACAAGCGTATTTATGTAGAGTAAGTCAACCAGTGAAACAAGATGTTGCACTCTTAGGCAGATGAGAATCCAAATTTAAAATAATACCACTTCTACGGACTCTCCACGCACGCAAAGCATGACGACTACTCAGGTTAATTGGAGGAGAATGAGCTGGAGAGGTAAGGCCCTCTGACACGGTCTGCTCATGACCTCGGTGGTCAGGATGGAGAGCAGCATTGGGGAACCTGGACTTTTCCACCCAGCTCCCTTGCGTAGGTCCTTGAAAATAAAATTTAAGAAACAGGGCTGTCAGCCACCTCCCAGTGAGTCCAGCTAAGACCACGTTAGTGCTTGGCCCAAACCTGGTGCAAAATGGAGCTGAGCACACAGACCTAACAGCCAGCTCCAGGTCTAGATAGCTTTTGAAACCATTTCAAAACAGCATTGTGCAACTTCCAAAGGGAAGCTAGGACTGCAAGTTACAGAGATGGCAGAGCCTGATTGTGTCCTTAAAATACATTGTTCTGAACTCTTCCACCTTAACTGGAAAAAGACAAGTTTTAAAAATCTCTAGGTGGCAAGGGTAAAAGGTAGCTCCATATCTGACAGGTGTTTCTGTGGTTTAATCAAACAAAAGGAAACCGTAGGTGGAAGCTTGGGCTGATCGTCTCCTTCCTGAGTTCAGCAGACTTCCTTTCCCTTCCTAACCCTTAGTTGGTTCATTCCCCATGGTGTGATGGTTTCTCTGCCCTCTTAAAACTTCTTTATGCTCCAGGCTATGATTGCCTAAGTACAGGACTACAGACACCTCTACCAAGCTCTGACCCTACATCACCATTTCCCTACTCGGACTTTTCCACTTGAAGTCCTCAAATTGCATTAAATGTAGACTGGCTCCACATCAAATTTCCCCACTCAGTGCCCCGCTCCCGTCCCTCCGGCCTACTCTGTACACTGCACTTAGAACACCAGAACTTTTGGTGATTTTAATGTCTGACTTTCACCTGTCTTTTTCTTATTAAGAGAATTTATTCTTATTTATTCTTTTTTTTTTTTTTTTTTGAGACAGGGTCTCACTCTGTCACGTAAACTGGATTGCAGTGGTGTCATCATAGCTTACTGCGACCTCAAACTCC